GACGAAACGAAGGGATACCATAATCATTCATTTGCTGTGTATCCTGAGGGCCATCGACAGTCGAGCGGCATAAGCGTGTCATCCAAAAAAATCATTCGTGAAATGACTGCTCCGCATGTGACAGCAGCAAATATTTTGGCCGCCATCCATGAAAAAAATCCGCACGACCATGCTAATCGGTGACATGTATATAACTATAGAGACTGGTTGCGTAAGGAAAGTTTTAAGGGTAGGGACGTTCCTACCCAACTTCTACATTTGGCAAACAACAGCAACTACATAGTTTATACAAATGTCGATCCGAATACAAATGCGCTGACACACATATTCATGGCCCATCCTGATTCAGTGAGTCTATTCCGGACTTATTATTGGTTTGTCGGCATAGATTCGACGTACAAAACCAACAGGTATTTTAAATTTATAGATATGTCATTAGTATTAATTTAAATTTGTATTATGGATTAGATTTAATGTGATTATAATTTATTTCTTTTGGTCTCATTTTCACAGGTACAAGATGCCGTTGGTCGAGATGATTGGCATGACGCCGTGCAACAATAACTTTTTAATTGCGTATGCCCTCATTAAGGACGAGAAAGATGCCAGTTATGATTGGGTTCTCGACAAGTTGAGACTTCTCATAGGCTATACGGTAAGAATTTATATGAAGTACATGATTAATTTAATTAGTATATAAACGTACTTTGTGATATAAGGTAAAATAAATTTGAGGTTTTTTTTGCGCGTCTCACTAATATTTGACGCTGCTCAGGTGCATCCTAATGCGGTTGTCAGTGACAGAGAGTTGGGCTTATTGACTCCTATTAGGAGGCATTTTCCCCAATCTGCCCACTTACTCTGCACGTGGCACATCAACAAGGATGTGGAAAACAAAGTGTACCACTTGTTTGGGAAAGATAAAAATTTATCTGAGAGGTTCTTGCGCGGTCGGTGGAAGTCGATTATCAATGTCAGTACGTTGGATGAGTACGACACTGCCGTAGCTCAATTGAATGCAAAATACGGGAATGATTCAAAAGTGGTACAATATCTCGAGGAGATGTGGCTATGCCACAAAGAGAAGTTTGTGAAAGCCTGGACGAACCAAGTAACACATTTTGGCAACACAACTACCTGTAGGGTGGAAAGTGCCCACTCTGTGTTGAAGCAGTGGCTTCGCACGTCGACTGGCGCGCTAGATACAGTGTGGCATAAGATTGATAAGGAGATCGAGTCTCAATTGACTGAAATCAGGTACATTCCTCAAATATATTATATATAAGTATAATATATTATATTATGTAATTATATTATAATTTGTTTTGTAATGTATTAACAGGACAACACTTGAGTCTTCTAGACTTAGGAAGAGTACGGCATATACGGGATTGACTTTCGCGTGCTTGATATTGAGAGTCTCGCATTACTGTATGAATTTATTGAACGATGAGTTAACAAGGATGCGAGACTTGAGCGATGAAGTTTACTGGCGCTGCGGCTGTGTATTGCCTACCACACATGGAATTCCTTGTGCATGTACGCTTCGTACAACACACGATTCTAAAATGCCCATTGGTATTGACATGATCCACGAGTTCTGGAAGACACTAGAGATGTTAGAACCAGGTAATTTGTGGTTAATGTTTATTTATAATTTTCTACTTTGTGATTCATTTTAAATTACACATTAAAGTATATTACTTTGAAAAAAAAACAAAAACAAAAACAAGGTGCAGGCAGGTCACACGACTCGTGTGTCTAGTGACACTGGTCGTGTGACGCTCACACGACCCGTGTCACTCGGCACACGAGTCGTGTGTGTACTGATGAATATTATGTTTTAGCTACGGCTTTGCCACACGACTCGTGTGCCGAGTGACACGAGTCGTGTGACTCTGACACGACCCGTGTCACTCGGCACACGAGTCGTGTGTGTACTGAGGAAAATTATGGTTCAGCTACGGCTTTGCCACACGACTCGTGTGCCGAGTGACACGGGTCGTGTGACTCTGACACCACTCGTGTCACTCGGCACACGAGTCGTGTGTGTACTAAGGAAAATTATGGTTCAGCTACGGCTTTGCCACACGACTCGTGTGCCGAGTGACACGGGTCGTGTGACTCTGACACTACTCGTGTCACTCGGCACACGAGTCGTGTGGCTAGTGACTACACGATTCTCCTGGATAATGTTTATTTATAAATTTGTACTTTCTGTTTCATTTTAAATTACACATTAAAATATATTACTTTGCTTAATTGTTTCAATTTTTGGATCGTATACTTTTAGGGACAAACCACCAGAGCCAGCATAATCAGGGTGCCTGGACAGATGTTGAGTTTTTTCGGACGCTTGCCAAAGAGGT